GGGGAGGGGAGGGGCAGGCTCGCCGGAAGGCGGCTATCTTTGTTTGCCCCTGCTGGGTGCTCACCTCCTGTGTCCTTTTGCAGGCACATCCTCATCTGCCTTGCTGCCTACCTGGGCTGTGTGTGCTTTGCCTACTTTGATGCTGCCTCCGAGATCCCCGAGCAGGGCCCTGTCATCAGGTTCTGGCCCAGCGAGAAATGGGCCTTCATCGGCGTCCCCTACGTGTCCCTCCTGTGTGCCAGCAAGAAATCACCGGTCAAGATCACGTGATGGCAAGGCAGTGGCTGGCTTCTCTGCTTGTTTTCCCTCCTGCACTGGGCTTCGCTTGCCGGCAAAGACAGCCGGTGGTTTGTAGAGTTGGGGGTGGGGTCTGTCTTCTTAGTATTCTGTTCCCTTGAGCTCTGACTAGCGTGTCTGTGGCCCACCAGGACTGAGGAGGAGGGTCTGCCCCGTTCCCGAAGATGGAAAGTGCAGAGCTGAGGGCCACCAGGTAGATCTTGTCAGTGTCCCTTCCAGATGCAATGACTGGTTGGACTGTATCCTTTGGGATGGCAGAGCAGTCCCTTGGGGGAGCCTCATTTCCCAGGAGGAGTTTGCTGCAGACCCCACCGTTCCCATGGGCTCTCAGAGCGGACGCTCCTGCTGACGGACTCTGACAGGCAAGACAGGCTGACTGATGGAAGATGCCAGGGATTTTCATTTGGGAAAACAGTCCTAAAATAAAAGCAAGCCAATGAAACCCACACAGGGCTTGTGGCTGAGGAGGCTACTGGTCCACTCGGAGAATCTCAGTAACTGGATTTTACATGTGCTTGTGAATCCTTTCTCTACTACCTCTGCTGAGAGACGGGGACTTCAGAGGAGGGTGAAGCTGATGGAAAAACCCTCTGTGCCAAAAGCTGCACTCCACTTTAAGCCATTCTTGAAGATGCGCACAATTCCTAAATGTTGACGTTGTTGCCCCCCACCCCCAGCCCAGTGGCCTCCAACACACCGAGAAGAATAGGTGTGTCTGAGCCCTCTGCACACAGACCCCTGCTCCTTGCTGCTGAGCTCTGTAAGGTCAAGGCCTTGGGATGGTCTGGGTGGGGATCCTAGTTTAACATCTGGAGCCAACACGAAGTTCTGGAAACTTCTGCTGATGGGAAGCCTTCTATTCTGGAAGTCCAGTATTTCCTGCGGGAGTCGTACTCTGTAGTCTCACAGTACAAGGTGCTTCCTGCAGTTTCTCTGAGCATCTAACGACTGCTTCTTTCGAGGACCGAGGGGACTATATGCTGGCTCTTGGGGTTTCTGGTGCAGCGGGCAAATCTGTTGCCTTCGGAGTTCTTCCTCAGCTCAAATGACACTGGCTACCACTAACCTCTTCACTAGGCTGAATGAAGACTCCAGAATGGTCATCACGGTGTGTGGGGGGAATACAGGGCCTCAGGGATACTCACTGAAGCTCCGACATCTCCTGCCTTGCAGCATTCCATTGTGAAAGAGAGCAGGATGGAGGTGTCCTTGTGAGGACAGGAGTCGTGTCACCAAGGACCGAAGAGTTGGGCAGTACCAGTCCGTGGCATGTCTGGGAACTCTTGCTTTAATTAGAATTTTGTACAGGATCTAAGGTGAAAAGTCCAATAAGGAGCAATGAACCAAGAGTTTAAAAATGAATGACATTGTTCTCCTCCTGTGGTTTTCAAGTTATTTTTAGCAGAACCCTATTTACACTAAGAAATCTTGATGGAACCCAAATGTGAGAAATGTGTTCTATCCGTTTATTTGAAGGTTAAACTTACCTATTTCCCTAATACCGTGCAGTGAAAATGCAAGTTAAATTGTGGTTTCCATGGTAAAAAATTTGGTGTTGAAGAAGTGTACCTGTTTATTATGGTTTAAAAATATACTTTGAAAAAAGATATTTATGTATTTGTGGGGTTCTGATGCACCTCTGAGACCTAGGTGGTTCCATCCGAGAGTTTTAAAACTGTGGTCTCTAGATTTTTTTTTTTTTTTTTGAAGATTTTATTTATTTATTTGAGAGAGAGGGAACACAAGCAGGGGAAGTGAGAGAGAGAGAAGCAGGCTTCCTGCTGAGCAGGGAGCCCAACGCGGGGCTCGATCCCAGGACCCTGGGATCATGACCTGAGCCGAAGGCAGACGCTTAACCGACTGAGCCACCCAGGTGTCCCGGTCTCTAGAATTTTTTAAAGGGAAATAGCAGTCCTCGTTTCAGATTAGTTTTACCAGGCATGGATTCTGGGCTCATCCATTCTGCAGTATAAAAATGCTCCAAAGTAGGGGGAAGCTTTGATGTACTTCAGGCCCAGCTGTCTTAGTGTGGAAGCGTGGATGAGGAGAGGCAGGGGTGTGGGAAGTGTTTGTGTTATATGTGAGGTTTAATTTCTGTCTTGAGAGTTCCTCAGTGATGGGAACATTACAGTTAAGGAGGGACTGTGTCTCCCTATCAGGTAAAGGGGTGGGTCCCTGAGGAACATCACCTCCAGCTCTCAACTCTCTGACCTTGCTCTTCTGGAAGTTTCTGAGTGTCCTTTGGAAATCGGGATACAACATGACTGCTGGAAGTAAGGAAATCAGTGCCCCAACTCACAGAGCTGTTTCCATCCATTTTCTACAAGACAAATGACTTAGTTCAGATGTCAGAAGGAATGTTTTTGCTGTTAAAAAAAAAAAAACCCCAAAAAACAACCCCTCCCCCCCCAAAACAGAAGGCCCTTCTAGAGATTGGTTTTAATGAGCTGAGGGCTGATAAAGAAGTATGGAATGGGTATATTTGAGGACAAAAACAGAACTCTTGAACAAAAATCACTCTAGCTTGATAGCGTGAAGATGGTAAATCGAGAAAGTAGGAGTTGAACAGTCTTATTTGAAGTTAGACTTATAGCATATTTATATTTACATTTATATTTATGATGCTTTTCTAGCACTAAACACTTGAAAGAAAATTGGAAAACTACAGGAAAGTTGAAGAGAAAAAAAGTCTGTATTTCTATTGTCCAAGGACAATCATTAATATTTTGGTATTTTGGTGTATTTTCTTCTCATCTTCCCCCTTTCTCCCACCGTAGAGTTGTAAATAGCTGTCTTTTAGAGTGGACAGTTCATCCGATAGCTTGAATGGAATTTAAATGCCAGTTGTGTATTTTTCATGAGGAGCAGCTTTTGGGATACACACCGGTTAGCTATACACTTGAGAGCTCATCACTGGATTCTGACTTACTGCTGAGTCTTTTTAAATTGAGCCTGACCTGAATGGGTCCTAAGAAATAATGAACTGAATTCTACTTTTCGAGAGGCCTCTGCTCTTGGATTGACAGGTCATGGGAAACCGCTGTTAAAAATAGGGCTCCACAGGTTTTTGGATTTAAAAAAAGTGACTAGATTAATTGATGTGCAATCAAGAATCTTTGTTTTTTCCCTTAATAATGCAGGGACATGGAGATTTGATGTTTGGGAATTAGTCACAGTGAGTGGCTGCCATGACCTAGCACAGTTTTGTTCTGCTTAGGTAGAATTTGCAAGATCAAGAACTGGCAGGAATTGGATCTAAGATATTAAACATTATCATCCTAGTTACCAAACAATCATTTAAGTCAGTGATTCTTATTTTACAGTGTTTGATTGAATCTTGATTTTTAGAAAAAAATCTTTTCTCTTTATGATTATGATTATATTGTTAGCACTTCAGTGAATATATTTAAGGTGTATGGGGGAAAAGATACCTGACTCTATTTGGTAACAGGCTACATTCTGGGGGAAACTAGCCCTGTCCTTCGGATGAGTGCCTAAAATGCTATTTCTGGACCCAAGATGTTCCGTTGGGGGATCTAAGCTTGATGGTCATCAAGCACAGACTTTCTGAAAAATACCGTAACTTGTTCTTTTTATTGGATTTCTCAGGTGTTTTAAAACTTCTCACCAGTTCGTCACGCTTATGTGAGCCGGCGCAATGTTGGAGGCTCTGAGAATGGGATGGAGTCTCCTTGGCTCTTCATCCCTGGGGGCTGACACGCAACCATCTCTGGGGGGCGGGGGAGGGCTGAACCTTGTCCAATGAGCCCCCCTCTCCTAGCTCCTTTTCCCCAAATGAGCTTGGAACCTTTCATTGCCAGCTCCTTGCCTGGGTGCTACTGTTCCAGCTGGCTAAAGAGAATTGGCAGGCCAGATTGGGGTTCTCAAGGGATTTTAAGGACATTCTCCTACAGATTAAAAAAAAAAAAGGACTAATTGTTTGAATGGTTTCTTTCTGTTAAACCAGATTGAAGACTATTTTATAATCACAGTATGTAATCAGAGCATATATAATATTTTCAGACATCGCTCTCGTTTTGTACTTTACACAGTTGTGTGGTATAAGGGTGTTGTGCTCACTGTCTGTGGTAGCATTTAGTCTCCATTGTTCTGGGAGTGATTTGAAGCCTTTTGAAATGGAGCTTTTGCACTTTATGCTATTTTTGTGAGCTGTGACGGTTATATTCGATATTAAAGCCAGCCGTAAGTGGCATTTTCTGTGGATATGCAATGTTTGTGTTTCTTTCCAAAATGATTTCTGAAATATCTGAAAATGAAAAACGCAGTTAATGGATTGTCAAGCAAAGCACATTTTCCCAAGTTAGTTAATGAATTTGGGTATTGTTATTACTAAACATACTTTCGATTAGCGTAGTTGTTTCTTCTCAGAGCTTTGAAATTAACATGCCTAGTATTTCCGGTATGAAGTGCCCAAATGCCTAGTGAATTTCTTTAGCAGGAAAATTCTGTATGTACCTGTTTTTAATTCCCTGTGACCATTTTTTTATTATTAAAGATTTCATGGGCCATATTTAAAAGAACAGTGTGACCGTCAGAAGAGAGACTGGGTCAGCATTATCAGCATCATTACAGTGGATTTTTTAGACTTTTTTTTCTGGCCTGGGTGAAGGGATAAGGGGATAAGGAGTGGCCACATAGACTTGACAATCTGGTGGGATAGGAGTCTTCTCCCTAGGAAAATGACTAACCCTATAATTTTCTGGGAATTCAGGTGTCCCTAGAAGCCACCCAAATAAAGAGCTCCTGCAGGACAGGTCACTAGACCAGGATTCAAATCCTCCTTGGGGCTGAAATTGGTCACCTCCACAGGTCTGCTTTCCCAACTGGCCTCTAAAACCAGTGGTCTGCCCCTCCTCTAAGTCAGGACTTCCCATTATGAGGGGCTGGAGGGGGAGACCCAGGATGCTGGGAATGCAAAATTTAAGTGTCCTCAACAAACTGGGAGCTTACATTTGCCTTAAGCCTCTTTCCTGGTTTATAGTATCAGACCCTCCATATGATTGTATCAGGGTCTGTCCTATTATTCTAGCTTTTGTATTGAATTTTTCCATAATAAAAAATTTAAGAGGTAGAACATTTGGGGTCTTTGTCCTTCATTCTCTGGGGTGGGGCTCAGCCTCCTTCCTGCCCCAACTTAAGGGCACAGGCAGCCTCTCTCCCCAGCTAAGGATTTGTCTTAACCTTAAGTGAGCACTTTTGTTTCTATCTCCAGGCCTGGTGGGTGACACCCCACTTACCTGGGAAGTCTTTCTGGATGGTAACTCACAAAAAGGGAAGGATCAACCTCAAGTGTTTTTGGTTGGTTTATTTTATATTTCTTATTAAAACAAAACATTTGATTCAGCTGCTTTTCCAACAGAGTGGAGACCATATCCACTATCTTAAAAATTTAACAAATAGCAAAAAAATAAAAATAAACAAATAGCAATAAAAAATCAGTAGTTTTTGCATTAAGGCTAATCACAAGAAAGTGGCTTATGGGAAGGCCAGGAGCATGAAGAGACACAAAATAGACGGTGATATTGGTGACATTTGCTAGGGAAGGAGGTCTGAACAAAGAAAGCCATAGCTACTGGGTGGAAAGGACCGGGAGTGACTCATGGAGTGATATCGCCATCTTGTGGCCCTTTCAGGTATTCCTCTCAGTGGTGCACTTGGAGACGTTCCCAATTGCAAATCACCACAGAACTCAATATAATTATCTCAAAACTCCCACAAGTCACAGCTTCTTTCTGTGTCCAAGTAGGTGTTCCTGCTTTTTTGCCCCCAAGCATCACTCTGCTTTTCCCCCCCTCCTCACTTCCCCCAGCAACTCCTTCTTCACCCTCTAGGTGTTTGATCTCAGAATTCTAAAAATCGGCCGGATACCATAAAGCAAATGTTTTCCTGCACATAAAACTAAGTTAACATAGTTGTGATCTAGAGGAAGTTTTTTTTTTTTTTTTTAAAGATTTTATTTGTTTGACAGAGAGAGAGATAGCAAGGGCAGGAACACAAGCAGGGGGAGTGGGAGAGGGAGAAGCAGGCTTCCTGAGGAGCAGGGAGCCCGATGCGGGGCTCGATCCCAGGATCCCGGGATCATGACCTGAGCCGAAGGCAGACGCTTAACAACTGAGCCACCCAGGCGCCCCTAGAGGAAGTTTTTTTTAATCCACTGGAGTTAAGTTTAAGTTTTGGGATTAATCGTTCCGTTTACACAAGTCAAATGCCAGTACAACCCCAAAAATCTTTAAGACTGAATCCAGTTTGAACCAACTTGGCAAATAAATGCCAGCTTTGTACTACACGTGCTAGCTGCAGAGGGCTATATGATGAACAACGCAATGTGCCCTGTGCAGGAGGGGAGAAACCACC